GAAAATGTAAGAGCCATCCTTAGTTCTTAAAAAATTGAAATCACACATGTCTATTGTGAAACTACTCAATAGTACTGATTCATTATTTTCATTCACTGCCAAACAGCTGTGATAATTGAGAATTAACAGGTTAAATGAACTGCTAAGTGACTATTATGTTGGCGACAGTGGGAGGTACAAAATACATAATTATCTTAGAACATTTACTAATTCAATTGAGGAACAAGGTTTAAATAAGTAAGAGAATAGTAACTGTCTTTCATTTCCCATTAGAAAATTAAATGATGGCATTGGTGATTCACTTTCTCCTGAAAATGTTTGTATTGGTCCTCATGATTTAATGTCTTGATATAGTTTCATATTTTTGGCACAATGAGATTATTCTAAAATGGAATGTTCACTTAATAAAAGACAAAATATACATGTTGGCTGACAATAAAAAGGAAAAACCTATAAAAAATACCATCTTATCTAATAAACTAATGTCACACTTGCAATAATATGTAGTCATTATGTGAATGTGTTTAAAGTGGTATTTCTGTTCCTTAGATCTTGTATAGTACATATTTTTATAATATTTGAAAGAGAATATCATTTTTATTTTACAAATTTATAAATGCACATATTTTTCCTTCCTGATCACAAATTTTAACATTTATATAGCTTTTATTCCTACAAGTGTATGACAATGAATTTATATTTTGGTTTATTGATAGGCCATCTGAATTTATTTTGTGGATTATATTTTTAATAATATCAATACAAAGTCATTTAATGACTCAGTTTCTGGAATTCATGAATAAAATATAAAAGTTTAATTTGTAATACATTAATGAAGAACTTCAGAGCATCCCCCTTTGATATCTTATAAAAGGAATCTAATTATTTTCCCTCGTTATTTCTATGACAGCAATGAAAGCCAGGTCGTGGCTTGCATATGCTTGCATATGCTTTCTTTCAGTTATTAAACTCTGTGTGTAGCACAATTGAGAGATTGCTATATATTCTCCAGAGAAGACTCAAGGCTTGAAGAACCTAGGTCTGCTCATTTTCCGCAGTACACTGAGTGGGTGTTTGAGCCTGACTCCTATGGCTGGTCATGGAGTGTTAGTATTGCATCTTCAGAAGCCTGATGATGTGAAGCACACACACATTTAGTTCCTGCCTGCAAGTTCCTGTATATGGTTAGCTAAAATGATGTCAGAAAGATTTACCTTTTTGAGGCTACAGTAGCCAAGAAATATATGCTGTACTCTGCTCCACTGTTTCCAAAATGTGGCACACTGAAATAAACCTTAAATGTTCTATTATCAGTTTCCAAAAACTTCAAAAAGGTCTATAAGTATGGTCAAACAGCTGTTTTCATTGTGTAGATACTTGTATGAGTTCATAAAATAGCAAGAAAAATGGTATGTAACTGTTTATATGTTTTAGTAATTCCCATTTTTAGGAACACTAATAGCTAAATTTTGTGACCATTATATCCAAATTATATTCTGAGCGTTATAACATTTTTCTTTCTATAATACAACTCCGTGAAGTACACACCATTTTTGTTATTCCAATAGATAGTTAAGAAAATAAAGACTCAAGAAATGTGATGTAATTTAGGAAGAGCTACTGTGTAGGCGGAAACACTTACTGAAAAACATCTGAATTGTTCCTAAAGCTTTTCAATAGCTTTTTTTCCTGTTTATTATGACAATGTCTATTCGGTGCAAACCGTATGCCAAGCACCATCCTAAGATCAAGAGACATAGCTATGAGAAGATTATATATCTTCATAATGGATAAATACCTGATAAAGCACCGCATACATTGCCCAAGTTACCTGACTAAATCCACATATGTATTAAATAATTACTTTATTTATTCAATAGTACTTGTTGAGTATCCGTTCCTTGAAAGTTATTGCCTAGTTAACACTATCAACTATCTAGCACTTTGACAAAAGTTTGTATTTTAACTCATGTTTCTGACAGCTAACGAACTATTGGCTTGCATCTTTTATACTATGTGGTTGAGCTGCCATAGGTATTCTCATTCCTTTGCTTACAGACAGCTGCTGTTTTAAGATTTATGGTGATGGATAAATGAAGGAAATACTAAGAAAGGTAAAGAAGATAGGAAGCTAAAGGAGCAAATATAGTCTGCATTGGTTGAGATTTAGTCTTTTTGGATTGTACTGAGACATGGTCTTTTTCTCCTTCTCATTTGTATAAAATGAACATTGAACTTTTTGAACATAGTATATGTTTTCTAGGAAGAGGAATGTAGTGGATACCTTATCCCCTTGGGTCAATCACATGCGTAGTGTGAATCAGTGACCCAGGTGGGTGATTTTTTAAAATGTTGTTTAATGTCTACATTTTTTCAACCATGAAATTAAGATTAAAAATAATCAACTTATAGTCTGGGGACTCAGTATTTAAAATAATAATGTAATTACTACCCACCTGTAAAACAACTGTGAAGATTAAATGAGATAATCAAAGTAAGGCACTTAATAAAGTTCCTAGTAAAGGAAAATGGTAATACTCAGTTTATTTACTCATTTTAATCACTATTACCATCATCTTCATCCACTAGACAAGTGGTTCTTAATTTTTCATGTGCTGCTTCACCATAGAATTATCTGTGATGCTTATTTTAAAAACTCAAAACTTTAAGCTAGTCCCTGAGTGGTTATTGAGTGTCCATAATGAATTATTAAATATATGAAATAATAACATCAAATATCCTGAGTTTTGAGTTGTTAATTCTCCGTAAAAGAAATGGTATATGGTTAGCAAGGCCTATTGACTGAACCAATAAGTGGCAGTTGCTGTTGATAATAAGTTACATAAAATTATTGTGGAAACCAAGAGAACCTCGTGGTTAGGTCTGTTTTAATGTGAAATAACTACCTTATTTCATAAATAACCTTTTATGTGTGTATATATATATATATATATATATATATATAATTCAATATTCACATGCATTTGTAACTACCTAGTTTGATTCTAGGATTCATTGCCCTTTTTATGATATACTTTCATCAAAAGTAGGATTGGCAATATATACTATTGTTAATTTCCTGTTATCTTAATGTGAAATTCTGTATCATTTTCATTACTCTCTTTAAAATGAACAAAAGGTAGAATTGTCCTGGGCACTAAACTATTAAATAACCATGCAATCTATTTAATCAATGAAAAATTGGACTGCATTTATCATATCGGCATAAAATGACACTTTTGTTACCATATCAGGAAAAGTGAAATCTTAAAAAAAAAATCCAACTGTCCTTAGAGACACATACCTCATAGTTTAGCACTGGATCATAATTTTAATAAAGCGAGTTCTTTGCTGAAAATCTGCTTATTATGTCATTAATTTATTACTTGGCAGACACAATCATGAGCTGAAATTTACTTGTATATCAAAATTATATGAAAGAGTCTCTATTAAAGCAAAGTATTCTAGATTAGATCACACTGCTAAAAACATTGATGGTGTATAAGTAATTAACATTTCATAATTCTGACTCATACGTATAGTTCATGCCCTTGCAAGTAAGCTGTGTTTCAAAAAATTCATTAACTATTATCCAAAATCCTATAGTTGTGTTACTAGGGCCTCACATGCTTAGGAACTATTACCAAAAAAACCCTTTCTGTGTCAAATAAAAATGATTATCCTTGTAAATAAATAGATGCTACCAATTTATGGAAAAAACAATCATTGCCTGAACTATACTGGAGGTGATACAGTTTCTCAAAGTGAAGGCTATCATGGTCCTGTGAAAAAATAATTTGCTTCCATTTATCTCTGAAGGAGATTTAACTCTCTTTTATGGAGGAATTAGAAGCAATATATTGAATATAATCTAGAATTAAGTCCAGGTGTTGACTTTCTGGTCATCCATGTTACACTAACTGCCCACATGTCAAAGGGCAAAGATTTATCCAACATACGTCATTTGTTTTGTTTTAGTTTTTTAAATTGAGAGAGTAGCATTGACTCCTGCCTACTTCTTAAACTGTTTTAACTATCCAGACTTGAGAGTTCTTTGACAAAACCAATACTGTATCTTTTCACGTGCATTGTAATGTATACATTCTGCTAGGGAGTGTGTGAGTTCTAAAATATTTCTAATATACATTGGATTCTATTCCAGACTTCATTTTTTAGCATGAGTTAGAGTCAAATATGTGATGCCTATCATAGCTCGATATTACTTACTAAGATGATATCTGTGTCCATTTGTTAAAATTCTACTCCAGCCCAAGGACGGAAAGTAGAATTGAAACACAGATCATCTCTTCATTAATAGAATCCTTTCCCCAGAGACTATAGTAGGTGTCTATCAGAGAACTGTTGAATGAATGTTTAACTATTAACTGTACCCTCATATAAAATCAACACTATGTATTTATACTTATTCCTGTAGAAATTAACATTATATCAAGTTTCTTAAGAGCACATATTTTATAAAATTAACTTTGCAGATCACATTTATGAATATTGCAAAAATACTATTTTTTGTAATCACTTCTGATGTAAAAGGCATATATACTGTAATTCAAATATTTTATATTAGGAAGGATTTGATAACATTCAGTACTAAACTGACAATTTCAATGATTTTTCTTTTATGGTACATTTTAGAAAAGTGTGATGATGAAATATGGTTGTCTGATCACATTTTATAGAATAAGCATTATAACCAAATAAACCTTTGTGCAAGCCTCAACCACACCCCTCTCTCTGCAGGAGGATGTTTGCTGTTAATTTCTCTAAACCTGTTACTCCATGTGAGTCTAATTATACTTGCCTCATGAAACACTGAATGAGATTTAAAAGTGGTAGTAGACTTCAGATGCTCAGTGTAGCACTGACCGTAATAGCCATTTGTAGCTTTTATTATGCTTGCAGTTCATCTTCTTAACAGGTGCTCTGCTTTGTGCCTGTTTCTTCTGTGTGAACTGGTGTGTATGTTTTGTTTCGTTTCACAGATGGATATACAACTGATGACATTGAGTTTTACTGGCGTGGGGATGACAATGCGGTGACAGGAGTAACAAAGATCGAGCTTCCACAGTTCTCCATTGTGGATTACAAACTTATCACCAAGAAGGTTGTTTTTTCTACAGGTTAGTATGTAGAAAATGATTCAAAAGAGAGAATCTTCATCATCTTTTGCAATAAGAGCTCACTTCCCTTAGGGTTGTGTCCTGGAAAGGCCAACAACTCTAGAAGATAGTTCTGGTGAAAATCCTGTTTCCTGCCCAGCTTAGTGATCCATTTTTCTCTAGAAGACATCACCAGCAAAACTGAGAAAGTCATATCTATGTTGCTTATTTGCAGAAAATGCACTAGTTTTTAGGGACAAAATATATAAGGTAAAATATAGACCTGGGTCACAATTGCCCCTCAACTTTATGCAACTTTATTCACTCCCATAGAGTGAATTATAATTCTTTGAAATACACTGAGAATTGCCAAGCAGGAATTCAACCTAGACTGATCACAGTGAAATTCTCTAAAGACCGCCAAGTAGGAGGATTTCACATTTTCTTCAATCTTATATTTCCTCCCAATTTTACCCAGATTTGAGCTATCACTCTTTCCAGATGTTGACATTTTCATCTCTTCTATATATTATTATGAAATTTATATTGTAAGATTATGATCTCTTATGTATCTGCTCTAAAGAATAATTTCCCAGATCATATAATCAAAGAATTCAAATTTAATAAATTGATTAATTAGTCATATTTCTCAGAAATACTGCTGAAACCAGTCATTTTCCACCTTTGGGTTGGGAAAGGGATCCCTTTAGCACTCTGATGCAGGCAGTTAAATTATTAATAAAAATATACATACATAATGAAAATCTTTACAATTCGCACTCCTTAAATATTTTCCACTGATCACAGAACTACACACTTCATAAGAGACTGCTTTTTCTCCCCATCATCACAGCACACTGCATTTTTTCTTGTATAAGGGAAAACTTGTATGATGGACTTACTGAAGAACAATTAAGCAAGTGAACAAAGGGAATGTACCATTTATCATGACAGTGGCAAAGAATGAGTGTGCTTAATGTGGCATACAAGGCTGAACAGGGACAGCAGGAGTTATTTTAACTCCTTGTGAGTACAGAATGTATTCTCTACTGAGTAACTCCTGAGAATTAAAAAGACCTGCACTCACAGACTACTTTTGCTGAGAAAAGTTCCTTTTACCCAGAGCTAAAATTGGATTTGGGGAAGATGTACAAATGGAGTCTGGACCTTTAATGGGAAGTATCCAATGCATATTAATAATAGTGATGTTTAAAATTGTCTTTTCAGGTTCTTATCCCAGATTGTCCCTCAGCTTTAAGCTTAAGAGAAACATTGGCTACTTCATCTTGCAAACATATATGCCCTCCATCTTGATTACTATCCTCTCCTGGGTCTCCTTCTGGATTAATTATGATGCTTCAGCTGCAAGAGTGGCATTAGGTAGGAAATTTTTCAACTGCATATGGACCTTGGCTCTGTGTTTGTGTGCACATGTGCTTTAATTACTCAGGCATTTGTGATGCATGACCAGAGTGGACCTTGTGCTTTGCAAGTGTTTAGCTATTAGACTTCGGGCACTCTGATTCAGCATTAAATCAATTAAACACGAATTAAAGCACTTCCATGTCAAAATTAGTTAACCGTATAGTTGTTGGTAATGAAATTAGTTTCATCAGTTTGATATTTTTATTGCAACATATTTCATGTAATATTGCTTGCATAATTGTTCAATTTGTATCTGGGCTTGTTTACTTGAGAAGGGCTCCCTTCTATCTTTTCATTATTTCTGAGTGTCAGACAAGGAAATTAGTGTGCAGCAAAGGAATAAGCAAAAGATTCTGAAGTTTCTTTGTTTTCTAGCAGCATGCAGTGTGCAGGAGACAATAGAGTAAGAACATCAGGAAATCACCCGAGGCATCACTTGTTATATGCTTGATTTTTAAACTTTAACAGAAGAAGAGGAGCATAAATTATATTTCTTTAATGTTTTTGTTATCTTCAGATAAAGAGAATTCATGCCTATTTATATGATCTTCAGTTTTGACTGTTCCCTTTAAGATACTGCATTGTTAACTTCTTCACTGTGAGATCCCAATTCAGTCATTACTTCCTTAGGAAAGTTATTCATTTATTCATTCAAAAAATATTTGTTAAAACTAGGCATGGTGGTGTAGGTCTACATTCCAGTACTCTGAAGCTGAGGCAAGAGGATCTAAGTTCAAGAGGAGCTTGGGCAACTTGATGACTTAGGGAGATAAGTGTCTCAAAATAAAATTTAAGATAAGGTCGGGGAGGTAATTCAGTGTAAAGACTCTGCCTTCAGACCTAGTACCATATACGTAAAGAATTCTGAGCCCTTAAAATGCACATACAGCAGTCCTCTTCTGAAAGTTGCATTTTAGTAGCAAAAGATAGACAATATATTAAATAATCATAAATATTTTATCACAGAATGAGTCTACAGAGGGAAATGAACAAGGTAAAAAAGCTTTAGTATACCAGGGAGTGTTTCCCTCTTAGAATAATCACGCAAGTCTTTACTCAGAAGTTACTGCTAGAATATAGACTTTCAGAAGATGAAAAGCCATGAAGATATCTGCATGACAGTCTTCCAGGCTATTCACAGACTTTTAGTAGGAACAAGCCAAATAACTGAGCAGGAGACAAGTGAAGCCAATGAAGAGTGAGTTCAGGGCTATAGGAAAAAGAATGTTTAAGAGAAAAGACTAAAAGATGACAAAGAGCTTCGTTGGCTATACTAAAAGCTTTGCTTTTATTCCAAGTGACATAGAAAGCCACTGAGTAAAGAAGTGATGTAATTTAATTTTAGATTTAATGGTGCCATTTGGCTGTTGTTAAGATTAGATTGTGATGGCTCAAGAATAGAGAGTAAGTCTTCCCTGGACCAAATCAAGATTCTGTGAGTCATACCCTTAGAAAGCCATAGAACTGCCTGTGTAGATGACCTTGATTATAATTTATGTTTATTTAGTGTCTTCCATAGGAGAATGTGCTCAGTAAATAATTGTTAAATGAAAAAATGAGTAAAAGCTAAGAATACTCTATTTTTAAAAAGTTAAAATCAATTGCCCATTTTGCTTGTATTATAGAAAGCAATGGATAATTTACTCACATTTTAGAAACTATCTTTTGACGTGAGCAGTTTGCTTCTAGGTTCAAAAATACCTTGAAATGAGATTTAGATAAATGGCAAAACCAACCTTGTCTGTTTGAATACATTCATGTAATACAGGATAAACTGAGGTTGAAAAATAAAGAGCAAAGTGAAATTGGAAAATGTTTTAAAGTTACTAATGTAGAGAAGATCTAAGAACTACAAGACTCTTTTTTTTTTTTTTTTTTTTTTTTGTCTTTTTCATTTTTATCGGTACCAGGGATCGAACTCACGACTGCCTGCTCGCAAGGCCGGTGCTTATGCCGCTGAGCTAAATCCCCAGCCCCTTATAAGACTCTTTAAAGCAAATGAAAGCTCAACTTTATATTTTCTGTAGCATTTAATAAGAATAATAAAAACAAAATAAATACTATGATGTTATTATTAGATAAAACTAAATAAGGAAACTATGCTCTCCCAAACATCAGAGTATTGAAATTTAGCTTTGGAGATATTCTATTAAATAGTGTTTAAAGTAGGTTTCCAGAGTTAGAAAGATCCTGGTTCAAATGATGACTTTACTGCTTCCTGTCTGTGATTTTGAACTCTAAGCTTTCTCTGTTTTCACATCACTATTTTGCTACCCACCTGGACATTTCTCAGGAACCTGGACTCCCCATGCTTTTGTCTTCCAGTTACAGTTTGGAGCCAAACTACTTTCCACAGTTAGAACTATCCGTTTAACTAGCCCAGCAATTACAGCCTGACTCACTGTGGCATTTCCCATAAAGAATCTACAGTGTATTATTTATCTGGGCCTTGTGTGCCTAACGGTCTAATCCAAAATCAGCAGAGCAATGAATCCTGCTTCCTTTTGCCCTCCACTTCTAGTTTCTGAATGTTGACAATCATCTCCATCATCTGTGTAACGTGGTCATTGATACCAGAAGTGTTGCTAGTATTTTCATTTTTTTGCTCTCCTTTATTCACACATTAGTCTGACAGCCTTGTAGCTGGTATTCTTTGTTCTCTTGCATGCTTCTCTCCCATTTTTGACACTGCTATTAATTGTCCTAAATTTAGTTTGTCCATGTGCCTCCCAGCTTGGAGCTGGCTAGTGCTGCACATTGCCTTTAAGTTTAAATTCTTCCTGGGGTTCCCCATTGTGCACTCCTTTCTTAACCTCCGTCCTTCCCACCATTCTTCCCATCCTGCCCCGTAGTGTACCCAGGATGATTTTCTCAAAATCCTTTGATGGGCTGTGAACATCCCTCAAACCCAACCTTTATATAATGTCCTCTTTACTGCGAATGCCCTAAATCCGTCTTTTGATTTCTGGTTCTTGGTCTCCTCAGTAACATTAACTTATTTTTCAGTTAACCAACTCTAAAGTGTTGATTTCCTAATCTCTTCCCTATGTGATTCATGGTCTTCTCAATTCTAATTCTTATCTTACGTATATGTCTAATGAAACATTTAATTCACATTCACAACCTTAATCCTCACTACCTACATAAATACAGGTTAAAAACACGACTAAAGGAAACCTTCCCAAATGATTCATGTTCACATTAAATTAACTGACACGTAACTCCAAGGCCTACCTACCACGGGCTGATATTCAACTGTTGTTTAAACATATTTTGGCATAGATTAACATTTTCAAATAGTTTGAGAACAAAGAGGAAGTAGAAATGTCATTTCTCTTAAGTCTGTTGTTTCTTTGCAGGAATTACAACCGTCCTTACCATGACCACAATCAACACCCACCTTAGAGAAACTCTCCCTAAAATCCCCTATGTGAAGGCCATTGACATGTACCTCATGGGGTGTTTTGTCTTCGTTTTCATGGCCCTTCTGGAATATGCATTGGTCAACTACATCTTCTTCGGGAGGGGACCCCAGCGCCAGAAGAAGGCAGCTGAGAAGGCTGCCAGTGCCAACAATGAGAAGATGCGTCTGGATGTCAACAAGGTACATTCAGAGGGCAAGCACTCCTTGCTCCTTTAACTCATAGAGCAATGCTAGCCTTGGAGATTGATGACCTTGCTCAACACAGGTAAAAACCAAGGCCCAGGGCAGAGAATGAGTAATTTATTTCCAATTTATAGTGAGGAAGACATGGTTAGTGTTTTGACTGAATGCCCAAATTTGGTTCCCCTGTCAGTTAATGTCACAGTCGCCCAAACTTTCATCATGTCAGAACCACCTATATGATTTTCCCACATTTGAAAATGTCTTTATTTATATTTTTTCTTCAAAGTTTCTCACCTTGTCTAAATTGAAAGGGGAAGTTTGTGTCATTCTAATTGGTTAAACTTGCTAAAGATAACTTTAGATAAATAACACAAAATATGTTAAACTCTGCTACACAAAGACTCTGGACTTCATCTCTTCATTCCTTTTTGTTTAAAAAGGAAATAAGGAAGGACAGAGATGTGTTGAAGACTCAAAAATAACAAGCTGAGATTTTGTCCTGGAAGTAATCATGATGGAAGGGTAACTTCTCCCTAAGTGACACAGTATTACTTAGTGCCTGGCACATACACCGCTAGATAGAAGAAAGCCCATGCAGTGTGAGGCCACAGTCTTGCTGCAGTCTGGTCTGCTCAAAGACTTGCTACACAATTTTTAACCCTTTTAATCTTTTAGGTCAGTAGTTCTCAACTCTAGTTTCCCATGTGAAATGTCTTGGAGGGAATAAAACATAATACTGAAGCCTGGATCCCTTGCCCCAAGGTTTTTATTTGATTGTCTTGAGTACATGTAGGCAACATAGTTCTTAAATGGTCACCAGGTTATTCTAGTTTGCAACCAAGAGTCTCCACTTAGTTGTGACAGCATTCTTCATGGAGTTAGTCCTGTTTTATCCCAAAATATAACCCCATCTGGCTTGCTATTAGGCAATTTTCTACACTAAATGGAATAATTGTGTATATGTTTACCTTTAGTCAAAATTTATACCCTATAAAATAAAATACACAAGCTCTTAATATTTACTATTTTAAAAACACATGATTTAATATTTCTCTAAGTAGTTTTTATAAAGTAGTGTATAGCATTGGATTCAATAAATAACTCATAGTGATAGGACTGGAGAAGAAGCAATACTTTTAAGCCATATGAAATTATTTACTATAACAATAGTTTTTTCATTGACATTTTAATACTTCCAATTGTACCTTAACTTCAAGGATAGCACAAATAAATGATCTCTACCAGTGAGATTTATTTGGAGAAAATGTGGAAATGTATGTTTTGCTTAGCTTTCCCACATACTTATCTATAGGTCTAATATGTGATTTTGGACTGTTTTTTAATCCAGAACATGATATTTACATTGATGCAGATTTTCAGTGTAGTCCCTTAAAAGCCCATAAACTATAGGGCATAAGAAATCATTAGTTTCCAAAGCCTAGTGTCTCACTCGTTGAAATCCGTAGGTGGGTTGGTAACAACAGCCAGTCTCAAATTATGGCTAGCTGAGCCTATCAAATGAGAGAATGCTTTCTAAGCCAATTTTATTACTTTTCTGATATTGTAGTCTTAGTAAAGAAAAGAAAATGAATAAATAAACCTATCTCCTAGGACTGCAGTTTGAAATGAGTCTAAATCTATCCCCTAATACAAGGCTGACTTAATAAGATAACATCTGATCTCTTTTTCCTTTCATCTATCCTATTTTCATACTAATTTGCATTTAAATGATAAATTTAAGATCTGGGCAGTGGAGATTTTATATAAACTGAACTTGAAAAGCTTTAGATAGCTGTAAATTCAATTGTACTGAGACAGAAGTGGAGAAAGATTCCCTGGGCAGCTACCTCATAATGGAGAAATGTCCTCCTGGCTGAGTATGGACCCGTGATTTGAGTAATAGGATATAAGAGAATAAGAAAGATACTTAGAAATCTTTCAGTGCAGTGGTTCTCAAAGCAGGGACAAATTCATCTCCTAGGGCACGCTTGTCACTGCCTGGAGATATTTTCTGTTATCAAAATCAGGAGATGGTAGTTGCTGCTGACATCTAGTGTGTGGAAGCCAGGGGTAGACCCTGCGAAACATCCTGCAGTGTCCAAGTCAGATTCCCCTAACAGCATTGTCCAGCAAAGCACTGAACTCTTCAGCCTCAAGCATGCATACTCTTTGTGTGTTAGCATTATGTAAAACCACCATTTTCTTTAGTCAACACAATACAGCAAGATACTAGGAGCTGTGATTTAACCCAAAATGACTTAATACATATTTTGAAGACATCGTTGACATTGCCTTTCCATTCGTGACTATGGGACAACAGATAAAATCAGCTTACCTGATACCTCAAGTTTCTCATCTGTCAAATGGGGTTAATTGTTCTCACATTATAGTATTTATAAAGATTATTTGGATAATGTGTAAAGAAGACAACATACTTGTTAGTACACAGTGAGCATTCAGTAATTAATAAATATTAATAAAATATTAGTACTAGTAAATATTAGTATTAGTAACAGTATTAGTATTGTTAGTTTTAAAATAGAACATATCATCTTAAGACATATGGATGACCCTAGCTTACATATCTTATGTGGTCTAGAATGTAGAAGTCAGATCCCTAAAAAGGAATATTATCTTAAAAAGAATGTTGCATGACAGAAATTTTAATATTAAAGCAACACTATCATTTCTTTCAATAGTTATTGTCTGAAGAATGCACAGCAAAACCACTTATGTCAAACTTTATCAGTTATTTCTTAGGACAGAATACCTGTGATTAGATTAAACAAAAGGATGCCCATCTAACATTCCACATTCCCATGGTTCCCATGCAAAGCAGCACAATAAGTTAGAAAGGTACCTACATTGGATCCTGACTGTACAGTGGTTTCTTTTGTGCTGATTTTAGGAATAACACCATCACTGCTCATCTGAATTGTTCCTTCATTTCACCTGTAGTTTAACCCAAAATGACTTAATCCATTCTTTTGAACTGTAGTTCTAAGCTTATTTTTCCTTCAAAATTGGGCACATATAATCATCCAAGTATTGCTGTCTGTTCAAACCAAATCAGCCTCTAGGAGAAGAAATGAAGTTTTTATCTTTGATAATTTCCTAGAGAAGAAGTGATGTACCTGATCACCTAAACCAGTGACTGTGAACCTCTTAGAGCTTTCAGTGATAACATACAGCTCGCTGCCTCACACGTGCCATAGGTTCGCCATCACTGACTTTTTAAAACTCCTTTGTCCTGAGGTCAGGGAAAGATGAAAATGGGGAGCTGATGCATGTGGCAACTCATTGCTACTTCAACAAATACTTCCACATTTTTTCTGTATCTTTCTGTGTAATTTCTTTTAACTCTTACGTGAAGAAGAAAATGTTCAGCTCTTAAAGCAATTCCTGTCTTTTTGTATTACTAACGCAAAAACTTTCTTTAAGAAAGTTCAGTAGGCAAGGTTGCATAGCACAGTTAGTGAATGTTCTGAGTCCTGGGGTTTTTCCTATTTATATTTAGTAACAATCCCACTGTGTTAACAAAACAAAAATGAAGTGAAATAATAAAGCTCCTCCCACATTAGGACATGTTTAGCTCTGTTGACTTCACCTCAAATAAGATCTCACCTACCTGCACATGAGGTCCATAAATAAATCTCCTCCATAGCTGTCCTCCTGTGAAATTGGAAAATATTAATATTTTGAAAATAAGCTTTATGCCAATATGAGATCTATGAATATTTTCCCAAGTGTCTTCTTCAGCACTTCAAAGAATATAATCCCTGCCTAAAGCATAAAAATAACAAAATGAAGCAATATAAAATTCCTATCCAGGGGTTAGGATAATCCTTCCTGTTGTACCTCAAATGTGTGTGTGTGTGTGTGTGTGTGTGTGTGTATGTGTGTGTGTGTGCATCTGCATTCCAATAGCATTTACTTTTGATTGATTTCCCTCACTGTTTTTGCTCATACAGACAAATTTTCAACTCTCCTTTTTAAAAGTAAAGTTTTGTGTTGTTTCCTAGTTTGTTTTGTGCCAATCAGTAAGTGTAGGCGTGTTTGAGATTGTAGTTATTCTTGCCTTTTCAACACCTTTATAATTGCACGTTTGAACTTCCTGCAATGTCCTTTTGTATTGAGAATCCCATAACCAGCAATTCTATAAATAAAGCTACACTGGGAAGATCTCCATTTTAGGACGTTCTTTATTCCACATTCATGGGTGTTATGACTCTGTATTGTCTTTATCTATTGTGCATCATCCTTTGTAATGCAAAATTGCTAATATCTTTGATCTAGTTCTATTACTTGGAATTAAATTTAAAAATAATAATACATTTTTAAAAACATTACTAATCAGCATTTCCCATTGTCTGTTAGCACTGGTCTTTCTTTATGCTTTGCAAAGACCAGTAGCATTTATCTATATCCAACTTACTTTAAGCACAGTCCCAATCTACTGGCATCAGTCTACTTAATTAGTACATTCTCTACTTTGTCTTCCAGATTTTTTATAAAGATATTAAACAAAATGGGACCCAATATCGATCCTTGTGGGACCCTACTGGAAGCCTCTCCCCAACTAGACGGACTACCAATTACGATTTCTCTCTGTATACGGTTAGATAGCCAGTTTTTAATCCATTTATTTGTATTTCTGTTGGGACCAATTTGTTTAGCTGTTCCCTTTAAAATAATGTTTGGGATCTTTATAGGTAATTTATGCTCATGTGTCCATAGAGATTTGGGGATAAGTTAAATGTTCTCATAAAACCCTAGTAGAATTTACCTGGGTTTATTTTTCACTGTAACTATGGTGGACCTAAATTTCAGTATTCCACTGAAAAAGTATTGTTGTCCTAAAGAAAGAAATGGAAACTATTTTGAAATTTCTTTTCATTTGTATTGATAGGTTAAACTGCTATTACATATGATGGTGTTTCTTGTTTTGTGGGTTGTTGTTGTTGTTGTTGTTGTTAGTTGGACAAGTGATTAAGAACTCTTACAATTGATTGGCTCAGAACAGGAATAGATATTTTCTGTTCTAGATCATTTATTTGTTTCTAAGAATGTTTCACTTGCATCAAGTCTTTGTTGCTGTAGTGTTTTTTATTTTAAAATAAGTATTACCTTGGCAGGACTGGCACTTTCATAATAATTAAGCAACAGTAATCAAAATTATTCTCAGTCAAAACTTGTGATTCAAATGAACTTTAAAGACAGTTTTTAAATTTTTTTGTAAGTACCTTGAGTTTGATTTCTGAATCCTTGTGTGTTTTCCATCTTCATTGGCAAATAGTGATTTGTTGGACAAACTGGAAGAAGAGGATTTTGATGGGAAATTTTTCCTCAGTTTATCTTTCCAGTCATTACCTGTGCAATACGAGTTTCCTTTCATCTTAATTTCTATCTCTTGGCAAGGCAATGATTAATATTGAATATTTATAAATGGTTATATAAGGACTTGATGTCAGCTCAGTTTGCATTATTGTGCCTTCTGTATCTTATGCTCTTCCTTAATTTTATTTCTTTGACTTCAAAATCTTTTATACTCTCCTTGTAGTACCTTTGGGTTGGCCAAGAGTTATGGTTAATCTAGTAAATTGCTGCTTTGTTTTGATAATCTGTCATTTTTTAATTTTATTACCTTTTATGAGATTATTTGGATTATTTGGAAAATAGTAATTTATTCCAGAAAAAGAGATGTTTAAAGAATTGTTAATCAGCTCCGACTTACCACATCTGAGCTGTTTCATTTATGTTCTTGCTGATGTTACTATTTTTTCTTTAGTAACTTTTGTTAAAATTCAGGTAGATTGATTTAATTGGATACTATTCTTGTAGAATATTTATAATATGGAAGAAAATATGAATGAAAGTTGGAATTTGGATTTATGATAAAAATGATCAAAAAATGGTTTATTTTTCAAAATGCAAAACACATCCCACTATATGATTGTCTAATGCTTTGGTAAAGCCACATGAAAATTCAGAATATCTTCATGTCATAAATATCTTGAAGAATATTTATTCCTTTTGTGTATTAAATTGTTTAGTTGGTGACTTCAGAGAGTTAATACTCTATAGTAATTTAACAGCCTTTTTTATTTAAAGAAAAAAAGCAAAACAGTAAAAGAGTACAAGTAATACAGAATTTCAAAAAAAAAAACCCAGTCAGAAATCACTAGTTAATAGATTACATATTGTCATCTTAGAATTAATTGATCAAGTTACAAAATTAAGCATACAAAGTGGACATTCAAACAGTGAGACTGCAAACAGTTCTGTTCAATGATCCAACAAAAAGGAATATGGTTACCTAGCTTATACATTTAAATATACATGCAGTTATATCCTTTAGAGCACTTTCTTTTCCTCTCTTTTGTACAATGACAATTACACATTTTGGGTTTTATTACTCCTACAGTTCTTATTGCTTAACAGCCTTTCTTCTATTTGGTAAAATACTATGTTGAAAAGGTACTCAGTGATTTACGTGGAAGTCTGAACTTTAATATCTGATGTGTTATCCTTTTATTCTTTGGATGTTTTTATGTCCCTTGAGTCTTCTTTTAAACTCATATTCAGAGTGTAAAATAAGGATTAACAGTTCACATGTGGGCTTTTCCCTAACAGTTCAAATGTGAGGTTACTTTAAAATTATACCTGTAATGTGGAGAAGCATCAAGACGTATGTGACAGTCCTGAGAGGTACCAGAAGATTGTGGGATTTTAGAGTCAGACTGAACTCGGTTCACATTCAGGCATGTCTTTTATAAGCCAGGTGACTTTTGATGTTTTTAACTTTTCAAGTTTCCCAACTGCAAATTGAAAACACTGATTTTAGCTTTATGATGCTGCTGAGAGAATGACCTGAGATAATTGTGTTAAGGATTTTATACATTACTAGATAAAGAGCACTCAATTGATAGTTGCTGCTGTTCTGGAGATGGTAGCTGGGACTGTGTGTCTTTCTTGTTTTTTTTTTATTTCATTTCTGTTTTTCTGATTTTACAACTAATTCATAATTGTTCTTAAACATATTTATAAAAGGCAGTGACAGCTAATTGTAGCAATGCTCACACAGGTGTGATCATTGTGAACCCTGCCTATTATTCACAGTTAGTGGCATTCTTTTATGTAAATAATCATATTCTATGATTTTATAAATAATCATGATTATTATTTTATACTTGCCTTTTAGTATATTTAACATACATAAGCATCATTTCCAATAGTGTGATTTACTGAATGTGCACAATTCATTTAACATTGATTAAATGAGCACCTAATATTAGATGTTTGCACCATTTCCAAGTGATTTTCTATTATAAACAGCTCTAAAATAAGCATCAGTTACTGGCTCTAAAATAATATTTTTAAAATGAAATGCTGATATATATTTTTGAGTTATTCCCTAAAACGATTTTATAAAATTTACATGGTTACTGACATCATAGAGGAACACAGTAATACATGTGTATGTACACAAACACCTATACACACATGAATACAATCACTCTCTCCTAAAATGAGAAGAAACTCAGAAAACATGCTTCACTGGGCCAAATGTGAAAAATATTAAAGTGGGTATATACAAGAATAAAACCCAAGTATAGTTTCTCATCTCTCCATCTGAAAGCACCAAAGAATAAAATAGCAATGGGGGAAAAAATGAAATAAAAGCTAGCAACACTCAAGTCAAATGGAAAGTCTGCTAAGAGATGCACAGGCAGGGCCAGGATTAGTACAAACCAGATATGGAGAAATCCACGCAAGCTACAGTTCAGCAAGTGAGAAAACCCAGGAGCAACATCTTTATCACAGTGAAGAATCTGGACAAAGAAGCAGCATGACAGCTGTGAGAGGAATCTACCAAATGGGGCAGGGAAGGTGCTCTGCATGCAAAGCCAGGTGACAGCTCTTTATTGAAAACAAAAAGGTGTATGGCACGATACACCAAAATACTGCATAGGAAATATGTCTTACCTAAAACCAGGTGAGAATAGGAAAAAAAAGTCAAGAATGAAACCGTGAATGTTAGGAAACTAAATGAGAAAAGCTGAAAAAAAAATCAGTTGTTTTGAAAATTAGTAAATCCACATACTTAAGAATATTATATAGTAGTTGCACCATCTAAAGCTAAAAAAAAAAAAAAAAAAAATACTCCAAAAGAGTACATAGCCCAAAGGACTCAAAGTTAGGTCATTTCAGTGGTGTCAAACTCCTTGTAGATCATAGCAAGTACAAGAAAACTTTCAAATAAACTGCATTAAGTATGGTAACATATTTTAAAACAGAAATTTGGCAGGGACGTATGGGTACTACACTAATGAATTGTAGTGGGGAGAAAAACCCTAAATGAATTTCTCAATTTAAATCCAGAGAATACTAATAGCACACTAAATCCTAGCCACATATTATTTAAAATTACATAGATAATATAATTACTTATATATGTAAGTTGAAAGAATAAAAGCAATTCCCCCTTCAAACAGATATCAAAAGTACTACTAATAAAAAGTGAATTGATTCTTGGCTGTATGTTTAAAGCCCTTAAGAAATTAAATGTTAGTATTTTCTTACAGTGAGTATCTTTATTTGCCTTAATTTACCTGTCTAGCCAAAAACTTTGTCTCTTGCCTTTTACCTTAGGATAGGAAAATGAAAGATACAACAAAAATGCGTGTTCTTCATCACCACAATTGTTTATTTTTTATTATTCTCATGTGAAATCACATGAGAAATACAAGGAATGCAGAAAGAAGAAATGAATAAATCAAGCAATAACTCAAATTAAAAATAAAAGCAAACAATTTATTATTTTACTCAAGTAAAGTCCAAGAGAACTGACTGTGGAAAACTTTCAGAACTCATATGACAAGTTAGACTAGTTCCCTTGATTTTCTTGCTTTGTTTTTTTAATACAAAATAAAATGATTTACTGAAATAGCAAGAATTAAAATACTTTGGACCCAATTCCTGTCCTGAAAATGACTCATCTAAAGAGATACGCTACTTATACTGGATGAATTAGTCTGTAATTTAAGTGGTTGAAAGCTATAAAATAGTAAACAATGGAGAATTGGTTGATAATAATTATTGGGTGCTGGGACAGTATTTATACTTTTTCAAGGTGATTTCTGTGGTACTTCATTTAGTTATCCGAATTTCAACAGATACATGGGGGGCCAATCATAATCCATGTTTTATAGATGAGAAAAAGAAAATAGACTCCTAAGAGGACACTGGTAACACGGAGCCAAAGGTCCTTGACCTTCCTTGCATGTCCTCTTCCATGACATGGTCAGTTTCTTTCCAAGTCTGTCTGATCAAGGAAACTACCTTGTCAGCTGTTCCTCGAGATGAAGCAAAAACCATGGGCTATTTACTTTCAGTTACTTTTCTCTCCTAAAGGGAGAAACAACCAAAGAGTTAACTTTTGTAAACACCTTTATTCTGTGAGGATCGAGTTGCCACTAAACAAAATTAAATTAACCACAGTAAAGTTCATAGGTAACACGGTGGCTTTGTAGAATACAAGCTAAATTCCTTTCTAAAATTTCAAACACAGCACTCTTGACATACCTCTCGTTTCTAGATTACCATGAGAAGTCAAT